ATAAACAGAATACTGTCTTTCCTAGTTGATGTATTGTTAGTTTTAGTATGATTATGTCCATATAACCATACTTAAGAAATACTTTTGTATCCAACATTCAACACTACAAATGATTAGCTAGTCTTTGGAATCTTCTGGGGATCTTTATTGGAATAAAATTCTTCCCACAAATAGTTAAAAAAAAGAAAATTACCCATAATAATTAAAAAGCTATTATTCCAAACTTCAAGTCTCGCGTAGGTATTTGAGGCCAGATCAGTGGCGTAACAAAGAGGTATGATGCCCCTGCCTAAGACTTCTTCAGGCCCTACTACCTGGGAGAAAAGGCCTGCCTGCTTCATAATATTTGACGTTTTAAAGAAGTATTTTGATTTTTTATTTAATATGGTAGTGCTCCTCAAAAAGGCCCCACTCTCTAATGTCTCTGGACTATACTGATAAATATCCTGGGGCCCTTTGTGATCTGGGCCGTGGGCCAGATAGCCTTTTTTGAGTAGTGACATTTTAGCTAACATCTAAAGTACAGTTATAGCTTACTTTAGAATATAGCCAACAAGTCCTGTCTCTATCTCTCTTCTCTTTTTTTTGTTCTCAATTCAGGTCCTTGAAGATTCCTTAGCAACCAATTCATTTGAGTGTTTGCGGTTTGTAAACTATTCAATCATCATGGCGAGTATGGCAGCAAAGATGATTTTAGGCAACAAATTAAAAAGCGCCACAGGTAAAACAACCTTTGTTTTGCAGCGTTGTTGGGGCCCTATTCATTACGCTTAATCCTATGCATCCAAATATCATTTTCATCTGCAGTGCATTAAGTATAACAAATATTGTTTTGCTCCTTTCCGCTTTCCTCATCTTTTTTCTTTCATCTTTCCTGTATCATTTCATACCATATTCATGTTACATTTTTTTCCGCACTTACTTTTTTTTGCACATTACTTGTTCAGTATTAGTATAGTTGAATTTAATAAACATTTAAACACATGTTCATTTAAAATATTTAAATATACATGATATAAAGAAAGATGAATTTCTGGATAGCATGGGATTGAGTGTTGAGAGTAGGGTCTTGACAATGTTCTTTTTTGTCATGTTTTGTAGGTTTTTGTTGATTTAATTTTTAGGTTGCAGTTATTCCTTCAAATCAGTTGTGTGACGTTGAAACACAGGCATGGATGTGTTAGGTAAGTACAAATTTATTTGAGATATACTACTGCTAAGAGTAGGCCTTGACATTTTATAAGACTTATTAGAAGACAAACTATGTTAACAAGGTAGCCTCTGCTTGGAAAATCTGTGTTTTCCTATTATAACATATACATAGAATGTCAATTCTCAGTTTTCCTGCTTTACATTATGCTTGTAAAAAACGAGTAGATTTTAGTTTAGCTATGCTCATTGACTTCAACACATGCTATGAGATAAGTTCCGAGCCTAGAAATCAAGACAACCATGTGATATGTTCTGGTTCACCAAGCAAATTTCTGCTTCAAATTTTTTTGCACAAAAGAATATAAAATAAAAAATAAATCAGCTAAAGTAAAAGAGGCTTTTATAATTAGTTATACTGAGCATCCTTCTAAATTATATGCAAATGAGTTCATTTTGCTTCCCAAGGTCATTAATTAATATCAAGATTGATATTATCCTCAATGCTATGCAAGGCAGCGTCTTTATTAGAAAGGAATTCAGCATATTGAATGCAACCATGGCTTGAAAATTGCTTTGCGAGAATTTTTTTTCATAATAATTTTTCAGTCCAGTAGAAATGTTATCTTATTGACTAACATTTAATGTAATATAACAGTATACTGTATTTGTTCATTCAACATGAATAATTTCAGTAAAATTATTTATAGAAAATAGATAATATTTTAAAAGATATAAATGTTAATTATAGTTATGGTCGATATAAATGATAATACTATATATTGTCAATGTTTGATGTTATATATTTTTCAAGTAAGTTTTTTTTCAAATTGAACTAAAAAAAAATTTCATTTCATTGCATAAATAATTACTTTTTAATTTGAAATCAATTTACAAATTTTTATTAAAATCCTAGTGAATCAGATAATTTGTTTTGATTTGCATTTTGTCCAAAAGAAATTAAATTATTTGATTTATTTTTCTAATACAATTTTTAGTGAATGATTAAAATTTGATTTTTTAGAGTATTTTCAATAGTCATTATTATATAATCAATTAAATAATATATAAATAGATAAGATGAATGTTCAGCCTTTAAACCTAAGTACTGGATTAAATTTGAAAAATAATTCTATATCATGTTAAGTATGTAAGTATAAATTATATTATATTTTAATTTATATAAAAACAAAATATAATTGAATTGTACTAAAATATAATAACAATAATCAATATAGTAAAAAACAATTCAGTATAAAGAAAATGTTTATAGTTCTACCAAAAAAAATATTACAAATATACGTTAAAATGAATTATATGATACATGAAAGATAAAACAGATAGAAAAAATGTAAGTTACTTTAATTCAGTCTTAAAAAAAAAAATCTTTATATTGACCTGGTTAACAAACAAGTTGGAATTGGAAAGATTATATCCCATGTCAGAAATGATTAATTTAGATTTTTTTTCAATCATATTATTCCTTTAGCCTTTTAAGAAGCCATGCTCTTTGGATGAAATATTGAATGGTGACTCTAGAGAATTCCTACATCTTAGAGTCATCAATATATAATGACCAGGTAGCCATTCAGTAGACAGTCTGATTGAATAACGAACAAATAAAAATTAATAATAATAGTCTTAAACTAGAGCAGTCACTTCATACAGTGGTGGAGCCAGCGGGGTCGGGGATGGGCATTTGTTTTCCCC